TTGTAATAGACACTGTAGGTGGCTGAGTTGTAGTTGTTGTTCTAGGTATGGTAGTAGGTGGCTGAGTTGTAGATGTTTCAGTTGTGGTAGAAGGAGAAGTATTTGTAATAGACACTGTAGGTGGCTGAGTTGTAGTTGTTGTTCTAGGTATGGTAGTAGGACTAGTTGTAGATGTTGTGAGACACTGTGGTGCAGAATAACAACACTTTACTTTTATTTCATAATTTAAACATATAGGGGGATTTTGTAAAATGTTTTTGCACAGGAGTCCTTGCTCATTACATGTAACTCTTTGGCCCAGTTTTTCTAGGGGAACCCCTGGATAATGCACACTCTGACACTCCACCGCCACAGGATTATCACAGATCTTATATCCCTTCTGGATAATATGTCTGATGGTTTCATTATCTCCACCTCCAGGGCCATATTCAGGGTAGTCTGAACTTATCCACTGGGAGAAGTAGCATACGGTTTCCTGACAAGGTGTAGTTATTGTTTCAGTTGTGCTAGAAGGTGAAGTGGTTGTAATAGACATTGTAGGTGGCTGAGTTGCAGTTGTTGTTTCAGTTGTGGTAGAAGGTGAAGTGGTTGTAATTGTAGTAGAAGGAGTTGAAGGTGTTGTACTTGTAGATATTACTGTGTGGCTCATGGTGGTGCTTTGAGTAGTAGGCTGTGGTGGGCATGTAGTATAGTCACAACACAGAACTCTGACTTGGTAGTTAAAACACAAGGCCAGCGGTCCTGACTGGTCTTCATTTCTGCATGTCAGCCCCTTATCCAAATTACATTGCACTACTTGTCCCACATTGTCAATGGTGACATTAGGGAACTTCTCAGCTTTGCACTGGATCTGGCTAGGCGTATTGCATATCTTGTGCCCTGCCTCTCGAATCCTTTGATAAGTTTCATTGTCTCCTCCTGGAGTTCCCAGTGTGGGAAAGCTGGTATCATACCAGGGTGACCATTGACAAGGATTACATGTGGGCTCTGTGGACACACATATTAGAGGTGTTGGTTATGTGGTAAATCTGACATTGAACATTTCTTCAGTCTAAAATGAATACCTTGCACATACCTGGAGTGGTTGATGTAAAAACAAAGGTGGTTGGCATCTGGCTGACTGTAGTAGTGGTTGCAGTGGGCATATGCGTTGTTGATGCACATGGGTATGACATCTTATCAATGGTACCATTCTTCCCACACACTGCTGTGATGCACTTACCATCTGTTGTGTTATAGATGGTACTACCAGGTGGGTATTTGTTTCCATTATATGTACAGGTACAGGCTGTAAAAGAGGAATTTTATTGTTAACATATAAAGCTTAACTAAATGTGTATTTTAAAAACCCACAATATCTCCAAGTCTTTGCATACCTTAGGCATCGTAATGGCATTGGATAGTGATTGAACTGCATGTACTTTAAGAGAAACACCATGAAAAATATTAGTTTTTATTTATTTTCATTTCATTTGACCCCATCACAGAGCGTTATTATCTTGATAGGCACATGTAAGAAATGCAAGACCTACCATGTATGACAGTTTTCAGTTGTTGGCACTTGTCACCATTATTATAGTGTCTTCCTACTTTGTCGTAGAAACCAAATTGTTCTTTTAAAACACATGCCATTGTTTCCTCATCAAAGTATGGCTGAGCAGGAGGACATTTTGGATAGCAACCTAAATGAAAAACAAACGGTTCATGTACTTCTTTTTTACTACTTGTAATTTGTAAAACCATGGATGATGGAGGTGAAAGTAGTAACTTTTTATGTTCACCTGGTGTTGTTTTGTAATGAGTCAAATTGGGGAAAGTTTGTTCCCAAGTGTAAAGAAACTGTAAAGATCACAAACATGGCACCCACTGAGGCAGACGTGTTTGCACGTTCCACTCTCGAATGTCGGCTTTTTCTTTATTTTCTTCTTTTTTGTGTGTTTTTTTACTTTTTCTTCAGTGCACAAATGTCACGCACTGCTAACATACAACAGACAGGCATTGCTGTATATCGCCAACTCACACAACCACTGGGAATTTACTGGTGAAAAGAGCTGGAAAGTTTGACAATGCAACATTATTTTGATGAGGATAATAATAACCATAATGCCCACTGCTTCAGATTTAAGTAAAAATGAAGAGTTCATACCACATGTATTTTTCTTCTCAACATGGCAGTGGTATGCTTTGGAGTCTAGCAAAAATCCTTTTAAAATAGCTTTCATTTTAATTTTCTTTTTGGTAGTAACTAGTCACCTGGCTCATTGGAGAGGCACACAAGAACAAGGAACACCGACACTGTGGTCGACCTCACAAATGCATGTAAGTCCTCTCCAGCATTAATTCTTGCCTGACTTTTTAGTTTCTGACCCTGGATTGCTGTTTTTGACCACCGTATATTGCCTTCCCCTTCAAACTCGGACTGCTTCTCTGTGTATCGGCTTATCGAACTCCCCTTTCTGACATCTCGTTTGGATTCCTTGGATGTATGTGTTTGCTGGTTCTGACCCTGGACTGTATTATCGACCTGTAAGTGCGTTTCGCGTTTAAACCATGTCTTGTATCGTTTTTTTGTTCAGTGTCAGTGCTCTTATTAAAGAGACTTTTTTTTTTTTTTTTACTTATCCTCATCTGGCTATTTAATTGAGTTCACCCTCGATATCATCGGCTGCTTTATGCACCATTCCTGACATACATGTTTGAACAGGGAGGCTGTGGAGAAACCAAGAGGTACAGAAATGCACAAAATCTAGGCTGAGGCACAGGGCTTCAGTGGGGATGGTAGCAATTGGTCAGCTGGAGGCTCTCATAGTCCGACATCTGGCAGGTAGACTCTGCACATCATGTTTGTGATTATCGTTATTTCTGATGTGCTGCCACGTTCTTTCAGTCTGTAGGCCTAGGGCAATATTGAGGCACTGACGTGTCCCTTTTGTGATTGTTTAGGAACCTTGGCACACTTCTTGAGCAGCTATGTCTTGGCACATTGGACCAACTTAGGAAGCATATTCCTAAGTAGTTTAGTAGCCTTGATCATTGTTCAGGGTGTCTTAAGGTCTACTCATTATAACAAGTGACTGGAGGGATGTGTGACCATGGCACTTACATTCCCTGACCCTATACCACAAACACCAGTAGAACCAAATGTGGCCAAAGCTGTCAGAGACTTCAGTGGAGGTGTTAATATCTGAGCTGACTGTACTCTGGTGTCACAACTGCAGATGGTTGTTTTTTGACATTTTTTATTGCTTGTCAATCTGAAGAGGACAGGTCATACTGAGTATGAACCTCCTAGAGACCATGCACTGAGGAAGTGAGAGTAGAGATATGGATGCTTGAGAGAGGTGTGCAGCAGACAAATGCATCCATGCCAGTGATAGCCACAGCCAGGAGGCATTATGTTTTCAGGCTGTCCATCCATATGTATGTCCATACATGCATCTGTACATCTGGCCCATTCTAGTGAACACAATATGTCAGGAATGAAATTTCCTTAAATTTGGCACATGCCCACTTGGATTCAAAGATGAAATGATTAGATTTTGGTGGTTGAAGGTCAAGGTCAGTGACCTCATATCTGTCCCACCGAAACTGTGATATACGCAATTCCTGTGGTCCTCATTCTCGGAGTACTTTGGTGTAGTTTCTGTCTACACCAGTTTATTCACCTAAACAAACTGAAGCCAATGTCAACCTCAGTGTACAGCAATTTACCAGCATGTGAAAGTGAAAGCAGTGGAATGTGACATAATTAGGATTTCAGGTGGGACTGTGGTTTCTAGAGCAGCTGAAGTTAAGTGTGAGTTTTACCTGTGCTTATTCCATTGACCAGTGACTATTGATCAATCTGTTGCAAAAAGATATGACATGGGTGATGGTCTAAAGAGCACCAGGAGTCTTAGAGTTAGATCAAGGCTAATTTTACCAGCACTGAAAGATCCAGAGTTTAGCATGCTGTTTTGATCTTCCTGTGGATTAATGTGATGTAGGGACCAGAGCTGTTTTCTTTCAGTCAGGTGATGATGGTTACAAGAGACAAGTGGTGTACTATTCAAAAAGGCGTGACAAACATCACAACTGTATTCAACAATTGTTGACAGCTGTCTCAAACCTGGATTAGTTTGTCTGTGCCACAGACATCAATTGTTGTTCAAAACCTAAGTTAATCCAGATCAGAGACAGACAGCCATTCTATTCTAGTGAGTAGAGGCAATTCATTGTTGGTTTCAGGTTCTGTATTGGGATTGTTGAAAAAAGCCTACTCCTAATACAGAAAATGTCATCCTTATCATCTCCCAGTTCTAGTTACTAATTATCTATTTTATAGGCATTGATTTGGGTTATTTAAGGTGCTCCTCATTTATTACTTTGTAAATACTAACACTTTTGTGTATCAGGTGTTACCTTGGCTAAAAAAATAGAATATTTTTGCTCTACCTTGTGTTACCATGACAGGTTTTTCTCTTGTTTTGTCATAAAACATTTATTTAGCTTAAAAGGAACTGTATAAACCATATGCTGATCGCAGCTTTTCAGTAAAATACGTATGTTTCATTCTGGTTACTCACGACAGATGGTAGGGGTTCTCCATTTAATACAGATGCCAGCTTGATTACAGGATTCGGCGTAAGTGGCTACAGCAGTGCAGAAACACTCGCAGTCTCCACCAGTGTCACAAGCACATGAGTCAAACACACATGCTTCATAATATGGAGCAGGATCCACCTTCAGGTAAGTGTATGGAAATACATTAATGAGTTTATGGGTATGAGTAACTCCACATCATTAAATGGAGGAAAATCACTACTGCACTTCTAAGTCTAGTTTACAACATCTCAGAGGCAAATACTGTACTTTTTTCTCCATTACATTTACTGTATCTGACAGCTACAGTTAAATACTATACAAGATTTACTAATCTATACTACAAAATATTATACATGTTTTAGTACAGAAAATGAGCAGCAGACAGTGTTAGACAAAATATCCGACAGTATATAAAACTGTAAAAAAAAAACCCACTTTTTCTAGGTACAAATATTAAAATGCTGCATAAATAGTGATGCATTGCAACAAATTTCCCTTCAACATCAACCTACAATGGAGTGGCAGGCAGAGAAGATGTCACTCTGTATGATGCTACACTGTTTCTGGGCCCATGACTGTCTATAGGGGTTCTCTGTGCATGGGCTGGTGATGCTTTGAGCATCGGGGCAGCTCGGTAAATTCTTCCAGCTGTTCCCAAACACCAGTGGGTTGACAACCATAGCATGGCACCTTGTAGTGAAGTCATTATTTGCATTGTCATCATAGTTGCCACAGAGACCACACACACGACCCTGAAAAAGTAGAGCTCATGTTGTTCAACTCAAGCATCAAAACAAAGTGTGTTTTTTTTCACATTAAAAAGAAATCCTTACTTCACTTGTTGCAGGATTACCTTATATTTTGGGCTGAGCCTGATGAACAAGCTGGTCTTCCTGTCCCACATGAGAATGAGTCCATTGTTTGCTTCAATTACTAGGTAAATGCCCATAGTGCTGTAACGAAATGGAACAGCGTCTTCATTTCCACCTGAAAACAGCTGGTATCTTCCCTCTATTAGAATCAGTTCGGCACTCTAAATATAACAGAAATGGATTGTTAGTCAGTTTTACCTATTATTTTTTTTATAACATACACTGTTTTTGTTAAATTCAAACAAAACCACCCTCACAAATCAATTACATTTTGTTTTTAAGATTTTCTGTAAAAATGCCATGCTATAACTGAAGAAGCTTTTCTGGATGATAGGTAAAATATCTTTAACGCAATTTCAGCTGCTTTAACTCAGCACTTCTAGACATACCAAATGAGCTTATATGAATTTATTTAGAATTTTTAGTATTGTGTCAGCAGCTTACAATGAGTCAGATAATGTATTTATTTTTTTGAAAAAGGTTTTATATTGACTGTTTACCCCCAAGAAGATCTTGATGGTCTTGGAGCAGGTGGTTCCTGTGGTTCCACACGGAATATTCTCAGTGATCACTCTGAAGGTTCCATTACTCTGAGCATTGCCACAGTAGTCCTGAGGAAGAATAGACCACACACACATACAGACGGGCAGTTAGTAAATTTGTAGTTTGTAATTTTTCATTTGTCAGAGAAATGGGATATCGGTGTTTCTAAAAACTAAATATAAAAAAATCACAGTGGGTGACAAGCAAGGGGTGAATTTAAAGTATTATATTAATGTATTCATGATATTCATCCTTTCATAGAGCCTGTCTGTAAAATAACAGTTCCAAGACAGCACACTCATTAAAGTAATAATTTCTTTAAAAAGTACTCAACAGTCATGTTTAATTAATGTGGCAGTAAGATGTTGGATTGCACAGTATATCAAGTGCCTACCTATTTAAATGGAACTATTCATTTATACTCAAAAAGCAAGCAAGCACATAGCAGCATACCAGCATGATTAGTACTGTATGTTGTGACCTCTCTTATGTGATCACTTGCACAAGAAGGATTTGTGTGAAGATGTTCAGTCAGGATTTAGACTCCATCATAGTACAGAAGCACCAGTGAAAGTCACCAACAATGGACAACGGACTCATCTCTACACTTGTCTTTCTAGATCTTAGTGCTGCATATGACACCAGTGATCACAACATTTTATAATAAAGACTGGAACATGTCATTGGAATTACAGTTTTTTCAGTTGCTAACACTAAAATAGCACACTTGGCACAATCAACAAAACTGACACTGTAGGGAGCAAAAATTCAGCTCAACTCTTCAAATTTCTTACGTTTTCTGCTTTGCACCAATGTTGCAATTTAAAATGATATTCTTTTTCCAAAACACTACACCGTTCTCTACATCTGCCATAAAATCACTTGTATGCCATTTCAAAAAATTGTCATTCAAAATGTCACACTACAGAACCAATTTTAAAAAACCTTTTGCCACTGGGCCAAACACCTTATTGCTTAATTATTGACTCATTAATCAGAATGTTGACTTTGACTTTATTAGCACTATAGAAAGGACCAAAGGTGAGCACCTATTTACAACAACAGTGGAAGTTGACCTAGCAGGTGGAAGTAGAGCTCAAGATAGAGGTAGATGTTTGGGATGTTGTCATGGAAATTACATTATTAAGTATGTTTTAAACTGTGTTTTAATCAGTATATTAACCAACATTCCCCCGGAGGAGCTGGAGGAAGTGTCTGGAGAGAGGGAAGTCTGGGCATCTTTGCTTAGACTGCTGCCCCCGCGACCAGGTTCCGGATAAGCAGAGGAAAATGGATGGATTAATCAACATATGTTATTCAATGGATTTTAAACTTTCAGAACAGACCACAGATCACAGGGACTAAGCTAAAGCTAAATGTGTTAAAAAGTATAAATGTTACAAACAATAAAAATATAGGCAGGAATGTCCTTAAAGAGTTGAACATTTTGATAACTTCATGGCTTTTGTAGCTGAAAGTATGCTGAAGAAATTAAGTGACGAAAAACAGACGGAAGAAATCAGAATAATAACTAGAACTAGAAAAATGCATTTCCTGTCGAAAATGCGTGTGGATGCTGTAATGCTGAAGTATTGCCCTGAAAAGACTGAAACACCTGCAATCAATTGCTGAAACAGCGCAAGGATGAGAAGAAATGGCTGAAGTTGTTGAAATAATTGAAGGTTGTGAAAAAATGGCAGAAGTAGTTTGAAACAGCTAAAGCATGAGATGCAGTGCTGAACAATTGTGGAAGTTGAAAAAACTTGAATAACTATGAAAGATGAAAGCAAAAAGATGAATAATTACTGTATATAAGATGAAATCAAAAGCTGAAATTGTGTGTCAACAGGCCTCACAAAGTATGGAAAACACAAAGGCAGAGGACTTTTTCAATGCTTTTGATTTGTTTTTGGACTCTGTGGGACTGTGTTGGTACAATTGTATGGGGGTAACAACTGATGGCGCAGCTTCCATGACTGGAAAAAACTCAGGAGTTGTGAAGAAAAGCCTGGAGAGAGCGCTGAATGCGATGTGGACTCACTGCTATCTTCACCGAGAAGCACTGGTGCCAGTGCTTGATACAGCACTGAAAGATGCCATAAAAATAGTGAACTACATTAAACGGAGGGCCAAGAACAACCACTGTTTCACACAGCTGTGCAAAGACCTGGGATGAGAGCACATCCAGTTGTATCATTCAGAAGTTCGCTGGTTTTCGAGGGGAAAGGTAATGTCACACTTTTATGAGCTTAAACATGAAATCGCCGCCTTTCTCTCATACAATAACTCCCCGTACTCTGAGATGCTCAGTGATGAACTCTGGCTCATGCGCTTCGCTGATGTGTTCGAGCAACTCAACACTTTAAACATGTCTGCAGGGGAGAGGACACATCTTTGAACAGACTGACAAAGTCACTGCCTTCAAAAAGAAGTTGAGGTTGTGGATAAATCACTGACTTAAAACAGACTTTACATGTTTCCCAACACTTGCCACGCAGCAGGAGAGCTAAATACAGCGGCCAAAAATGCCCTGAAAATAACTA